AGATTAGATTGTTAAATTCTTGTAAATAGGTTAGATTAGATATATTCTGAGCTCAAGCAGGTTTTGGTCACTCAAAGTACAGTTGGTGAACCCAAAAAGTGAAAAGAAGGTGCAAAATTTCAAAGACAAAAGAAGATCCTGAATTTTGGTCTATACTCGGTCGAGTATTAGCTATACTCGATCGGGTATTAGGTTGGAACTTCAAATCGGATCAGATCCGAAGACAAGGGAACATGCAGGGAAGATTTTGGCCACGATTTTATGTCTATACCCGATCGGGTAGACCGACATACCCGATCGGGTATGCCTTTGAATTGCAAACGAAGATCGGTCGAGTATAGCCCGAATACCACTTTCTAAGCATACTCGACCGGGTATTCATATATACTCGATCGGGTATACACTTAGAAAATAGCCTGAAACCGGTCGAGTATGCCTCGGATCGAGTGTTACACACGTACTCGATCGGGTACCATGTATATACCCGATCGAGTACCCGAATCTCATCCCAAAAACCTATAAATACACCTCCTTTCCTTCACAAAAAGATATCCAATCCCTTTGTACATCTAAGCTCAGTATAGAATAGCTCTTTCTTTATATTTTTCATCATGTTTAGTCTCCAAATGAGGAGCTAAACTCTTCCATCTTGGTTTTGCTACTTTGAAGCTTAATGAATTTGTAAGTTGTGAGTTATTTTCTTTAATCTTCTTCCTTGAATATTAATTCTTTCTTTCAAAATACTATCTCTATATCAAAGTTGGGGAGTGTTACTAAGATGACAATTAGTTAACATCTTGACATTGGTTATAGTAATAGCTATTTCTTCCTCTATGATAATATTGGGGAGTGTTACTAAGATGACAATTAGTTAACATCTTGATATTAATCATAGTAGGATTCATATATTTTAATATTCTTCCTTGAGTATTAATTAATTCCTATTCATATTTCATGTTAATATCTTAAACATTACTTAAAGTATCAACTAGTATTGTTTCTCATATTAATTATTACTAGAATCAATCGGTTAATACGCTTGTTATTAATCCGGTTCTTTCAACGGTAGTAAACTTGGAATATTAATGCATGCATCTCATGGTTAATATGCCAAGGGGAATTAATTATATTGATTAAACCAATAAACCGCTTGTGTTGAGGTTATCAATCTCAATCGTTTTCATCTTAAGTTTATTGCTACTATCAAGTTAATATACGGCGCTTGTTCTATATTGACTCGATAGTAAGTTTTATTAATGAACGCATCTCGTTATTAATAACTACCCTCGATGAACTGGATATACTCCTCGATTGAGTATTCGAGAGGAAGATAGTTAAAGATATAACCGGGATCGACGAACATTTCATTAAGTGGATAAAAGCAAAACCAAGTCCCCATCTCATTGACTTAAACTCATATAGGTCGTTTATCTTAGTGTTTTCAAACCAAACAAATCTAAACCCCCCTTGTTACTATTTATATAAAAGAAAAGTATTCCTTTCCCTGTGGATACGAACCTTACTACACTATACTACGTATTAGTGTTGTATTGATTAATTATTTTGAGTGCACCTAACGACAAGTGCACGTCACATGGCGTATATTCAGCTTTCCAATATCAGAAATGCATCCCGCTGTGCTTCAATTGCAAGTCCATTTGGAAAATTCTCAGTACATTACCTTTTATGGCAACAAACGCATAACGTATATCACAGAGGCTGCTGATTCTATGAAAACAATGCTGACACAATTCTTCACAATGAACATGTCTCATCAGGTTGCAATATCCATGCACCTTCTTTACGTGGAATTTCCTCATTATTTTGTCTGGAATAGTCAACGTAAAGAATGGACACAACGCAAACGAAGGGAAGTTATAGGCAGACTTGTCACTTTAAATCCCACAGAAGGAGAGCGATATTATCTGCGGCTGTGGCTTGAATACAAATCCACGTGCACTGTGGCTTGAATACAAATCAAATTTATGCAAGGACTTTGCCAGGTTTCAGCCATCCGCAACTGCTGAAAACACTGCACTAATATTGTTGCGTGATCTCTTCGCTGAAATGGGAAAGGAAATAGACTCTTTCAGTCTGGTTGATTACGAATTGCGACAAACTTATGCTGAGGGAACCACTCGTGAAATACTGGCAGAACTTAATATCCTTGTTAGCGATACAGATGTCAATGGCATTTCAACATTGAATAGTGAACAACGAACATCATTTAACGCCATAATGACAGCTGTACACGCTTGCAAAGGGGAAGTTTTCTTTGTTGATGGCCCTGGAGGCACTGGGAAAAGCTTCCTGTATAGGTCCTTGCTTGCCGCGACCCGGATGCACAAGTGGATAGCACTCGCAACAGCAAGTTCGGGTATTGCTGCATCAATACTTCCTGGAGGCTGCACTGCTCATTCACGTTTTAAACTACCCCTTGATGGAGAATCTAAATATATCTGCAATATTGGCAAACAATCTTCTGAAGCAAGACTTCTTAAAGAAGCACGCCTTATTCTGTGGGATGAAGCGTCTATGGCAAATCGCATGATTGTTGAAAGTTTAGATACCAAATTGAAAGACATACTAGATAATGACGCTCTTTTTGGGGGTAAAGTTATGGTGTTTGGAGGTGATTTCAGACAAACATTGCCTGTTGTTCGCTCCGGCACAAAACATGACTTCATTGATGCCTGCTTGCTGAAATCAATAACAATATGGCCTCATGTTTGCAGATTACGCCTTGTTCAAAATATGCGCGCACATGAAGATCCTGCTTTTTGTGATTACCTGTTACGGATCGGAAATGCAACTGAACCAAATATCACTCCAGGAAGAATAAAAATCCCTTCCAGTTTTTTGCTTCCCTGGATTAACGAAACTGTGTCTCTAGATTTGCTCTTTGCTGCTGTGTATCCAGATCTCCACACATTTGCAAACGCCCCTTATTCTCTAATGTCACGTGCAATTCTGACAACAAAAAATGACATAGTTGATTCCATCAATACATCCCTAATGAATAAATTCCCTGGAGAAGAACACATGTTTCTTAGCCATGACATTCCTATAGACTCAAAGAACACACACTGTCAGGATTATTTGCACACCTTATCCCCTACCGGCCTGGCCCCACATAAATTGAATTTGAAGCATAATTGCCCAATTATGTTGCTTCGCAATCTTAATCCATGCGAAGGCTTGTGTAATGGTACTCGCTTAGTATGCGACTCCTTCGGGGATCATATTTTAAGTTGTTACATCGCTGCTGGTGACCACACTGGTAAACATGTCTTCATCCCTAGAATCCCCCTGGAGGTTTCTAGGGATGAACATTGCCCTATTCCATTTAAACGGATACAGTTCCCTGTTAAACTTTGCTTCGCAATGACAATCAACAAGTCACAAGGACAAACACTTGATTTTGTTGGTATATATTTAAAGGAACCTGTTTTTTCTCATGGGCAACTTTATGTTGCAATATCAAGGGCTCGCAACGCAGATTCAATTAAAATTGTCATTTGCCCTGACGAGTCACACCCTTCACTGGCTAACACAACAAAGAACCTTGTGTTTGAAGAAATATTACCTTTCATTAACTAGGTCTTGAAAACTAAATATATGCATCCACTAATTCAACATTTGCATTGGTTTTATTTTATATCCTGATTGAATATGTTTCCCATTAATACAGTGAACAAACCATTATGACTGCTGAAGTACCGATTCTATCAGTAAAGCCGGACACTAGGCCATGGACCTGTCGTGTGACAGTCATTGAAAAACAGAATATTCGCACTGCAAAGGCTTCACCCATGCGATTTATGCCTATGATACTCATAGATTCACTTGTATGGTTCTGCATATTTGTTGTTTCAATAATATTTTTAAGTTCTCACAATCCCATTTGACTAACTTAAATAATGTGTTCTTTATAGGGGAACAGAGTGCAGGCAACCGCATTCCAAGGTGACATTGAAGGAATGGATCAGAGGCTTGCGCTCTACTCAACTTACCTTGTCTCCAATGCCTACGTGAAGCCGACAACCGACATGCGCTTCTGTGTTGATGCGGAATACCCATACGTTTGGTCTTTCACACGTCGGACTTTCATCCAGGATGTTGCCGCAGAAGCAGGACAAGACTTTCGTGCGCTAGCTGAGGCAGACACCATCCCTTTCAATGACATATATGATTCTTATTTGCATGAATCTCGTATCAGTAAGACTCTACTCTCTGTTTACATATTTCTCAAATACTCCTGTGCTTCGTCTTTTAAACCCTCGTATGTAAACCACAATTTTTTAGATGTTATGGCTGTGATTGTAAAGAAATTGCCACGCACCTTTATCTTCTCAAATGACACTCAAAAACCAGCATGGGATGTTGTCCTTATTGATGCACAGTACACCCTAAACCATTAATTTACATTCCATTTATTACACTATTGTCTCTCCACTTGTCTAATTCACTCATGTGTGTTCATAGGTGCGTTCCAATTCCATTCACTATGTGGGGGGAATTCGTCAACCGCCATGGTCACGAGATAGAAAGGTGTCTACACGCAGGCGACTTCCCCCTCGTTCTAATCAACAGAGCTGCCATCAACCTTTTCCAAGGTAATTCATCATTTATATTCAATTTCAAATGCATTAAAATGAAAAATAAAAACCCCGCAAACACTATGCAACGGCTATATTAACATTCCATACATATGCTTTCAACACACTGCGCTCTTTACACCCTCATCTGCAAAATGCCTACACTGTCAGCCAGCACACTCCTTATGGCGCCCGCTTTGTATTGATTGCATTTGTGTTTCGCAGGTTTAACTCTTGCAACTCGTTTTGACTCCCACGTTGAACTTAATCCTGACGGCGAACGCGCATTGAATCTGAAAAATGGTATCTACCTATTCCTGTATCCACGCAATTATTTATTAGTCACATAAATTAGTCAACGATAAATTCCCTTATTTATCTTCAACTTCTCTCACAGGGTCACTGAAAACAAATGTAAAATCCATGACACACTGCATGGTAAGGAATACGATGACGCACTTACATATATCGCCAAACCTCTTCTGCAGCCACAAACCACCATATCAAACTTGGAAACTGCACTAACTGAGGTTTAACTCATTGAAATCTTCCATATTGTCACTCAATCTGATAAATCATTGATATGCATTGTCAATTACATTTACAAATTACGTTTTATTGTCTTTATCTTATTAATGTGTCATGCTATATACCCATGTTTAATCTCATAATTTCATGCACTAATATTGCTATATTTTTAGTCAATTAATTCTGCTTTTATCATCACTTTTCATTTCGTACCATGTACTGTTAGTTGCAGTTTTTTCATATCATTAAAAAAATGATATATCTTTTGTATTGATGATTATTTAGTTTAACATTACTCTGCTTCACCGCAAGTTTTTGATATTAGTATGAATATGAATAAATTATGTAACCATTGCTGCTGGAATAATGCCCCTGCGCTATTGGAATCTACTGCAACCTTATTCTAACAAACCACTCAACAATGTTTTACACTTTCTCAAATGCACAGATACTTGTTGTTTGGGTGTATGGTAAATTCAGTTTACCAGATACTTCTGAAGAAGGGTATTACATTGGTTGTAACTACTGCAACCGCAGAGTTCATGGTATCGAAGGTGCGTCCTTCCAATGCTTATTCTGTGGGCAAAAGAATGGAACTACTGTTAAAAGGTATACACACAAATTCACATGCATTCTACTTTTTTAGATATTGTTTTTGCCCCCTAATAACTTCCAAATGATGCAGATTCAGACTCAATGCTTTGCTAGGCGACGGAACCGGCACCATCCCTGTCACACTTTTCACCAATGATGTACTGCACCTCTTCGAATTCATAGGCATGGATGCAACTGCTGCCATGGATTTAGAACTTTTCAATACCAACATACAAATGATACATATCCTGACTGGGGTAAAGCGAACCAAAACCAACGAAGAAGGACTGCAGGGCAATCCTTACACCGTTGTATCTGTCTCAAAAAAACATGAAACCTCCCCTGAACTCAATTCAAACCAACATGTAACCCCCCCCCCCCCCGATTCCCCAAATAACACCCCTGCAGTATTCGAAGCTGCTACTGAACAATCAACCCTTGCAAAAAGAAAGCTGAATTTCAAATCCCTTGGTCAACTGCCAGCTCCACATCCTTCCTCATCTGTGAATCCTATTATGCACAACGACAACATTGTGGAAGAGCCGCTTGCAAACCTGTGCCCCAAGAAACGCAAACCAATCAATACTTAATGACCAGAGTCCGTGCATTTTTTGCTATGGTGGAGTCGTGAGTGCATTCTTCTGGTGAGAATCATATATGATTATGCACAACCCACATCCTTCCAATGCCACCTTTTTTGCTCTACAGCCCGACGCATAATTAGCAGAAATAATTAGTAATAATTGTGTCACTGTACTCACCCCTTTGTAATTCACACGTCTAGCAGTAGTCCTAGACTTTTGTATTCACCTACTCTTGCATGTACATTAATAAGCAACGCATCTTGTAAATATTAACCACCTTCGTTTACCCGTTGTTGGGGAACTATATATGCCTTTGTTTTTATCATGTCTATATATATGTACACATATATGCTTGTATGTCTGTGTGTGTATACTATTATTCCCCCTAATATTTCATGCATCAAGGGTCATTACATGCGCCTGAACCATTTTGGCTCATTCCACAACGACATCATGTTTCATCCCTACTACATAAACCCTGTCTCATTTACTTTATATTTCAATGAAATTACCAACTTCCACCCCTTATTTATTTTCACACTACAATTGAAAATTTCCCCCCCATACTTTTCAAGCAAATAAATATGTTTATATTTCTTTTACCCCCCAAAATGCACAAACCCAAACATGTATGCCATAAATGTACTACACCGTAAACAGCATCCCATCCTAATACAAAAAAATATCCATTATTCTCAGTATACAAACTGCCTGCAGGATCTCTTTAGTATTTATATCCATTTACTCCCTAACTTCTGTTTTCACTTCCTTTTGCTTCTATGTTATTATTATGCAAACATGTTGTCAATATTAGCTACGTTTGCCTTCCCTATCGTTGGTAATGCATGAAAGACTATTTTGTATTTCACTCTTTAATACGGATGTTATGTTTGTTTAGTTTTACGTTTCTACAGTCTCCTGCGCTACATGAAAACACCTTATTGCCCGCGCGTGTTAAACAGAAAATTAAGAATGAATCATGTGACTATTAGTTTTAACATTAAATATTATAGTTAGTTTTAATAACAATATCACAGTTTTATTACTCCTTTAGTTTTACTTTTATGTATGATAATTGCGGTCGTTGTTTCGATAACCAGTATTGTTGATTGTCATGTTGCAGCACTCCAATGAGTGTTTGCATCTACTACAAGGGTATATTAAGTTAAATTATGATAAATAACAAGTATTATTTTCAAAAATTTGAGAATAACAATTATCAGCTAACATTGAACACCGGTATTCACTTAATTGGTGTTCAGTATGGTGAACATAAGTGTTCAGTGTGGTGAACATAATTGTTCAGTGTGGTGAAAATACAGTATAAATCATCTTTGTCCTAACACACCTCTACCATGTAGTAGATTCACCATATGAAGATTTATCCATGTAATAGATTATCGGTTATTTACTAATCTACCATAACATGAATGATAACATATGTATACGAAAATTCACCATCAATATTTCATTACAGCACTCCATACAATTACTAAGAATTTCTTGTGAACTTCTTGTTGAAAGGTATACATTAAATATTGTCACTACATTAAATATGGCTTACCATAAAATGGATGATAACATATTCTTAATTGATAATATTTGATGGTGAACTCCATGTTTTTCTATCGTTGTCCTAACACCAAGGCTATTAATTAATAGATCACATAAAATTTTATATCATGGGGAATTATCATCCATAGGTGCAACATTTTGTGATATTTACACCTAATCTTAAAAAGTTTAAAATTTGTATTTAACCATTTTAAAGTTTTCGTGTTTGCAAACTGACATTTTGCAATACGCATCTTATTATACATTGCAAATCCCTGCCCCACATCAATATTCCCTGTTTAACAGAAATGCGTCATATTGTTTAGTTTATTTTTAGATGGAAATGCCGTATGCCAAGACTTAATGTATACCCCCAATAATGTATTCCCTCCGTCCTGTAATTTACTTCCAACTTTACGTTTTCACCAGTCCCAGAAACAACTTCTCTTCCTTTTTTAATGAAAAATTTATGATTCACAATGATTCTTACACATTCTTACCTATTTCTTTCTCCTGTGCACAACTCCCCCACACAATTATCACTTTCTGAATTTATATGCCATTGTACTATTAAAATAAATATTGGGACGAAAGGAGTCTTCTTTTTAAAATCATACAAAAAAAAAATTATTCACTCACAAATTATGTATTATATTAGTAAATTTCCATGCGAAAAAGAAAAAAAAACATTACAATTTTTTAAAACCAAAAAAAGATATACCCAAATCTCACATACCTGTGAAACATACTTCTACTAACGTGTCACAATATTGCCCCATTACATACAAAATCAATCCATACTCCGTAAATCTACAGAAGTAAGTATATTTTTACTTGGACTGCAATTTGTCCCAGACGAAACCATCCCAAACAGTCCAAAACAAACCAGACCATTTCAGACCAGACCAATCCAGACAAAACTTAAATAATTACAAAAAAACAAATAAACTAAACTAGACCAGATCAGATCAGTTCATACCGAAAATAAACAAGCCCATCTCAAACCAGTCCAGTCCAAACCAAACCAAATCAACAAATTACGGTCTAAGTAACAACATCCTAAACAATAATTATTCACCGCCTAATCTTGTAAATTAAAAAATTTGATGGCCCTTGTCAAATGCATGTATTTTAAAACGTCATATTCAACCCAGTATGTTGATTTCTTTTAGATTACGCCTGCCTCCACATGCAGTAATACCCAATCACAGAAGTACTGCCGCCCTTTCCTATCTTCCCCTTCTTTCAGAACAGCCGTAAACATCACCCCAATACTGTGCTTCATCTCTTCTCATTCCAGCCTTGATCTCACGCTACAACAGGTCTACCATTAACACAGGTAAATCTTCTGACCCATCTCATCTCTATCACACTTCTCTGGGCATAAAGAATTCTTAAAAAAACTCAATACTTAGGGATGGAAACGTACATGCAAACGGAAACCTTGGCGTTGTTCGAATGGGTCTGTCGCAAGGGCGTTAAAGACATGGGAAAAACAAACTTACGCCACGGCAACACCTTAACTTTTATTGTCCTAACATCATGCATTCCAATTAGTCATGTTCATAAACTTTATTCACACCAACACATTGAGTTTGTCCATCAACCCATTTGTTAGCTATACTCACTTCTCGATTACCACCGGTTCATATTCTTTTGTAGGCTCAGTAATCTTTTCCTGCTAAATGCCTCACTGCTCTTACTTGATGTGTTTATTGCTTCTATGTTTTCAGTCAACTGTCAATTTTATATCAATTCCTTACAAAGTGAACAAAAAAATCATTTATAGTTTCCTCACTTATATTATTCACTTCTTATTGATTATCTTCTTGTATTGGATGTTTATATCAATAGTCCATGGGTTTTGCATTGAGTGAATCTCATATTGAGTACAGAGCATACCAGTTTTGGTTAATAGATTTTGTGGATTTCATATTCATTCCTTTGATAGCAAGTCATTCATATTGGTTGTATTGATTTAGTCTCCAACAATATGTTGGAGAGGATCATGTGTCTATTCATAATCTATGTACATATATGAACTAAAATGCTGCTTATTGGTGTTTAATGAACAATATGTTGAAGAGGATCATGTCTTTTATAACAACTTCTTTGGTGTTTAATGAACTAAAATGCTGCTTATTGGCAATGAAAAGTTGGGCATTTCTTTGCTGTTAGCAAAAAACTGGACATCAAGAAGTGAATTACATTCTGTGTCAAGTTTCAGGGATAAATGGTTATGTTAGGATAAAGCGGTTTGCTTAATTAGTGTTTTTGTCTGCTTTTTAAAACAATTCACATCGTTTTTATGGAGTTGTTAGTATAGTTTTTTATATTGTTGGTAACTTAGAGTCTCTCCACAGGTTTCAAGTTATAACTTGAAGGTATTAGTGCAACTAATGTGTTACTAACCATCAATCCTTTTATTGCACCAAAATATGATCACAAAGTAATGTTATATACACCAAATGTTGATATAACAAAATAATGTAGAATGCAACAGGTGGTGAATATGCACCTGGTGATACAACTGGTGCATATAACATTTCTTCTTGCATATCTAAACGAAATATGAACCAACTAAATTGTTACAATGACTACATGTTTTGAATAAAAACTAATAAAGGGATAGATAGTTCAGCGTCTTATGTAGTCCAGATTAATGCTGAATCATGTACAGTAGGTTGAAATTATGCTGACTCAAGTCCTGTAATGCTCTTGTTATTTGTGATACTTCTATCCCTCTTATTCTTCCTCTAATTTTGTAAATAGTTTAATACCTCCTCTGCTATGCATAAATGGGAATATCCATTTGCTCTTTAGAATGTTTACAATGTGAAAATATTCACCATGTCATTCATACCTCAGATTTTACTGCTTCACAGACTTCTATGGATGAAATTACTTCATCCTTTTGCACTGGTTCACTCTGACTCACACATGCTGTACTTTTGTTATTTCATTTAAAACATGAACCATTTAAAGACATTTCATAACACCAATTTTTGTTGATAGTATTTTAACTTTTAATGACAAATGTGCAAACATCTGCGTTTTAATTACGCCATATTACAGTTTGCGTTACCCTGAGATGACCTGAGGC